ACCAGAACCAAACCCGGCCCGTTCCTACACTAGCCTGTGCACACCACTGCTGCTGCCACTCTGTCAGTCCATCTCATTGGGGGTCCTTCCTCTTTTTCGCTGACCTTCAACTTTACGAGGTATGGCGTCCTTCTCTAGGGACTGGTGCCTTCTGATAATATGTCCCAGGTGTGAAAGATGAAGTCTTGTCATCTAGGCTTCTAAGGAGCATTCTGGCTATGCTGTTCACAACATAGGTTTGTTTGCTCTTCTGGAAGTCCATGGTACTTTCAATATTCTCCTCCAATAATCATAAGCATCAATTCTTCTATGGTCTTACTTATTCATTGTCCAACTTTCACATGCATGAGAGGCAACTAAAAATACCATGGCTTGGGTCACACACACCTTGGTCCTCAAACTGACGTCTTTGCTGAAGGTTGTAGTCTTTGATCTTCATCAGTAAATACTTCAAATCCTCTTCACTTCTAGCAAGTAAGGTTGCATCATCTGCATTATCACAGGTTGTTCCTGAGTCTTCCTCCAATCCTGATGCTATGTTCCTCTTCATCTTATCTAGCTTCTTAGAATATTTGTTCAGCATACAGACTGATTAAGTATGATAAAAAGGATACAACTCTGGTGCACACCACTTCTGATTTTAAACCATTCAGCAATCCCTTATTCTATCTGAATGACTGCCTCTCAGATCTATAAATAGGTTCCTCATGAGCACAATTAAGTTATCAGTTAGCAGGCTTCTATAATATTTACAGTCTCTACCTGGTGGCACTGTGGGTTAATGTGCTGGACTGCAAAGTCGGTTTGAAGCACAAAGTTGGAGGTTCAAGCTCACCAGCCGCTCCTTGGAAACCATATAGAGGGTCGCTATGGGTCTGAATTGACTTGACAGCACGTAACAACAACATATAGCAAAAAAGAACACTAAGTTTCAACACTACACACACATTAAATTTGATTTTATTACAGGTAGAAAATTAGCATTCTGCATTTCCTAAATATTTTATTAAGGATTCTTTTTACTCTGAATAAATATTTGAAACCAAGGGGACCATAAAAAAATGTCATACCTGCCAGTACACACTTAATAGCTTGCATTGGTAGTTCCAACAACTTTGGAATTATGGGACAAAGTCTCGTCAAACTCAGGATCTCAAAGTTCCCATAATCTACATATCCAACCAACACAGAGTCTTCAGAAGCATAAGCCAAAACAGAGGCACGGTACCATTGGTCATCCTCTGAAAAAAGGAAAAACTCAATCTGCATGTTTTTCCAATGAAAATATAAACAAAAACTCTTCCTCTCAAAATCAGAGATGGTCATCTGCAGATTTTAATACAACACTAAGCTTTATCGAACAACATATGTTTACTCAATGCTGCTGTTTTTCTTCACCAGAAGCCTTGTTGCCGCTGTTAAGTGCCACTGATTGGTTCCAACTCTTAGCTACTCGGCATAGGGTTTCCAAGGATATCCATCTTTACAGGAGCAGAAAGCCTCCTCTTTCTCCTGCCGAGTTGCTGCTGGGCCTTGGACCCCCTAAAATGTAATTGTTATTCATAACTTACTATTAATACTACTCTTTGTCACATGTTGTCATTACTGAGCAACATATCTTGGTTCCCTTTAGATAGCTCTTTGGGACAGAGAACACGACCTGGTCATGGGGACCCTCACAAGGTCTTGATTAATAAGTGAACCATTCATGAAGGCTTCAAGCACAGCTAATTTAGAACACCTGGTGGTCTGAAGCAATTAGACTCCATCAACCAACCAAGCAATCTATGTACTTGTAACTTGCATCTCCTCTCCCATGAGGCCACTAGGCCGCCTGCAGCAAAACCTAACAGAAGCCAGTTCCAGCAAGCTGAGACCTGAGTAAATCCAGAGGTTGCGCCCAAATAGCAGCAGGCTTCTGGACCCTCTAGCTGTTCCTAAGAAAACAAGAGCCCAAGAGGTTCCATATCTGCATACTGATGTAAAAAGAACCATCTGGTACCAGGCTCCAGAAAACAACAAAGCCTCCCTTTAATACCCCCTTGACGCCTACAGGCCCTCTTGGCCTTCCACGCCTCACACTATCCCTTGTCCTCGGGAGCCTGCTAAGTGCCATCAAGTTGGTGCAGACTCACAGTGACCCCCTGTATAAGGTTTCTGAGAACAGCTGATGGGTTTGAACCCCTAACCTTGTGGTTACTAGTCCAGTGCTTATCCTACTGTGCCACACAAGGACTCTGGCCCAGCTGAGTTGGACCCATTTTACATACATTAAGTTTCAAACGCAGCCATTCGGTATATACCGAGATTTCGGTTCCATTTGTTTTTACTACATTAGAAGTAACAAATTGAGCACAGGAATAAATAAATGGAGAAACCTCTATACATTTGGTTTTCAGCTGGGTAATGAACAAAGGATAAGGGAACCCTGGTGGCACAGCGGTGAAGCACTTGGCTCCCAAACAAAAAGCTGGTGGTTTGAACATACCACCCACTTGGTAGAGGAAAGATGTGGCAGTCTGCTTCCACAAAGACTGACGGTCTCCAACACTCTTTGAAGCATTCTGACTCTGTCCTCTGAGTTCGAGTCGGCCAGGTGGCAGGAGGCTTGGTTTCATTTGGGAATGAACAAGTGACCTCATGAATATTCTATTTCCTTACCTGAGAACTGAGCACAACAGATATCACCAATGGATGGGAAAAAATCAAAGCGTGGAGACGCTCGACTGCAGTACTCACACAGGGATGTCTGAAGTTCAGCAAGCTTATCTGTAAGTACAGATTACATCGTAAACAGAGTACATGAAGATTCATACATCACCTTTTACCTTTACCTACTGAGTCTCATGAAGTATGTTACCCTGGCAGAACAAATCAAGGAAGTTTACTTACGGCCACTTTGTAGTTGCTGACAAAAGAAGTCTTCTGGAGTCTGAATGTGGGCCACCACACCACAAAACTCCTCCCCAACGTTCAGAGTTAACACTTTGGGGATTAAGTCATTGCTGTCTACAACAATTCTGTCTTCAGCTGTCATTTTTCCAGCATCTTCAGAATCATCTTCTCAGAAAACAGAAAAATAAAAAGTCATTTTGGTTTCATGAAAGTTACAAAAAAAAAAAAAAAATCACATACATTTTAATCATTTTGAAAAAGAGAATATGACCAGGTAAGATTCTTCCTGGAAGATGCCTATGATGTTTCCTCCCACAAATATGGAATAGCTGTTAAGAAAGGTAGGCTTATTTATCACTACACTAGTCCCAAGAGAGAAACCGGATGAAATGACTTAAGATACACATTCAAATCTAATTTACAAGTTGTACACAGGATCATTAAGAATGTCTACAAAAATGAAAGAAAATAACCTGGAATGGATATCGTCTCAAGTATAAACAAGTCAGATTAGAATTGATTCCACAGGTAACTGACAGATTCAATAGAAAGCCACTTATTACTAAAAGTAACACAGAATAAAACAATTATGATTAAAGTATACAAGTTAAACCAGAAATCAAGTTATTTAAAAAAATTCATTACACAGCTCAAAAAACTTAAGGGCTAAGAGAGGAAGCTGAAGAAAGAGGCTTCAAGCATACTGAAAAGAAGAGTGAACATAAGAAAACTCCCAGGAATGAAGAAAATCCACAGCCAGCCTATAATATGCCAAATCCTTAAGGAATATGCTTTTAGGATTAAGACTTACAGGAAGACACCATGATACTAATTTATCAAAACCTGGAAAAGACCAGAAAAAAAATTACAATGCTACTTCAAGGAACTAAGGGTAAGCTAATATTCAGATAAAGCTAATTATCAATTTCATTGTTTTAACACAACATAAAAGAAAACAGGTTATCTATAAAACTACAGAACTATTAAAGAAAATTAATCTCACCAGATAGTCTGATCCTTTGAAGACCATGCGAAAACTTTGGTGGGCCACAAGATTGGAAGGAATTCCATACCAAGCAACTACTCTCACAATGGGTTATAAGGGATTCCAAAAGTTACGTCAAAAATCTCACTCAAACAGCTAAACTGGTCCAAAACACAAGCCAAGGTAAGCTCAATAATATCAAATATAAAAGAAAACATCAAAGATAAACTAAAATTCAAAAAGTATTTTTCAAGTGTTTCAGAAAGTCAAAATATATATTGGTAATATCAAGAAAATGACCCATCAGCCTGTTGGTTCACAGTAAAAGACGCAGGCTATACACTAAGGTACAGCACTAAGATACTATGAGGGTGCCTGTCAGCTTCTAGAGGTCCACGTGTAAAACAAGTAGCTGACCCTAACAGACCCTTTATTTAATTATAGGTTGAGCATTCATTGCATGCCAGACACTACACTAGGCAATGAGGGGATAAAGGTCAGTATAAAGCCATAGTCCCTGCTCCACGCAGTTCAGAATCTTGCTGGGTGCATAAGATGCTCAACTCCGGAGCTCCCGTGTGATGTAAAAAACAAGGGAAGCAGGACTGTAGAGCTAGCGTGCAGCCACATAGGGGCCTGAGTGCAGCTGGGGGTGGGGCAAGGTGAGAGAAAGGCAGGGCAAAGTGAAGCCCCAAATTTATCTTTCTCACTATGGTTTCCATTCAACACTCTCCCTTAGACACCAACAACATGTATGGTTTAAACCACACTGCCAGTAGGTAAGTAAGAGATCATTTTTGCCCTTTATTGTCACGCCAACATGTGTGTTTCATAACTATCACTTTGGCACTGCTGTAGAATACAGACAGGAGACAGAAGAGCACATCATAGGGCTGTGGCAATTGTCCATGAATACCGAGAATTCCTGGACTAAAGAAATGATAATAACGAAAACCAGGAAAGAAAACACACGCCAAGGAGACTGGGAAGAAGAATCAACAAAGACAAGACCAGGGATGGGAAGCAATTTCTGTGGCAGGATGCACCATCCAGTCATGGCCCCAGTCTCTCTGCAGGATGAGCAGGAGACAGTAAATCATGCCGACACTTAAAGCACTGGTAAAGGAGAAAGAAGAGTACAAAGAACAACATATAAGACGAAGCAGAGAGAAAACCAAATGCTCTTAGGAAACTTACTGGATTCCTTGTGCCAGTTCAAACTGGAAAACCACAAACACAAGTAAGAAAGAAGAAACACTGTCCGACTAGAATAGAATTTTATGGCCCTAATTACTCCTAAATTCTGGAGTACCCAAGTAAGAAAAACAGATTGAACCAAGGCAATGTCAACTGTGAAGATCTCAGCCTGAAGTGTCACCACATTTAGTACTTTACAATCTCTGATAACCATCACAGGAAGGATTCATTTATTCGGAAAATAGCCAGAGAAGGTTAAGATTACAAATAATGAATTACTAAAGGAAAAAATGTATTTTTTTTAAATAAAGTTCACCAAGTTGCCACTAATACCATTAAGTCCGAGACTGAGATAGTACTGCTACTTTCCCCTAAGTAAGGAAGGTAGTATTCCTCCTTCAGTAACTGAAGTCATTGCTTTCTGAAATATTAGCCTCTATACTCACTACTAATCATTCTGTGGGAGAAAAGATGAGGTTTTCTGCTCCCGTAAAGATGTACAGCCTCAGAAACCCTGTCAGGTTCATTATGAGTCTCAACCAACACCACAGCACATAACCACCACCACCATACTCACTTTGATCAGCACTTTGCTTCTTGGGTTGCAAGCCATATCCCATGTCCACAAGTACATGGTCAAAGGGTTTTCCTAGAGAATGATTAAGAAAATATCAAAGGATTACAGGAAAAGCATAAATAAAGAACAAATGAGTCCCAATTATAAGGTTCAGCAAACATAACTGTTACTGTATAGACATACTTCTTACCAGTTTAGCTTCTATGCATAAAGTATCACTGAATAGTGCACAGTTTTAGAAAACAAAGCAAAATTCCCATCATTACTTGATAGACATTTTACCCAACAGGCTTCACTTCAAAAGTCTGAACACATGTGTGCTTCAGTTACCACCTCCCAGGCATGCCTAGGACGACTGCCACTGACCAGAAGAAATAAACCGAAGACAAAGACCACGTCTTCCCAGACACGCGCATGGCTGAAGTGTGGAACAGCATGAGCACGGAATTCACACTCTCTGAAAGAATCCCCACAAGTTTGAGTCCTATCAATGAAATGTTCATAGTAGAGAAACAAACAGATTTTATACTTACATTTCACAACAGGATCAACTATTTTTTCAACCAAGTGACCCCACACACCAGGCCACTAAAAGAAGACAGGTGATCACTTAGAAATATAAAGGTAATAATAAAACTGTTAAGACATTACTCTTCAAATGGGTCTGAAACCAGATGGATGAACATGACCCCAGAGTGTTTCCACAACGTAAATCTGATGTACCTAAGTATCAGTACTAACCAAAAGCAGTTCTATAAAGGTTGACCATAAAGCACTGGTCAAAAATGAACAGACAGGAACAAACAAGATGGCAGATCGGGTGGACGTGTAGTAAAATGCTCCACCAGCAACAACACAGAATAGCCGACCAAGCAGTCTCAGGGGATGGTCCCAGAACTCTGAACCACATATAGAGGAATATTTAGAAGGTTGGAAGGCTTACAGCTAGGGAATTTGTGGCAGAAGCAAGAAATCTATTGCTTTCTAGTCCGGGACGCTCAGCTGCTCCAGGAGCCGCCATCTTGGGTGAGACCAAGTGGGGGAAGGATCGGAGTGGCCACAGATGCCTGGCAGAACCACAGAGATAAAGGTGTGGACATTCTTTTCTTTTGGTAGCTGTTCATTGGTCCCTTGCTGTCTGCGCACCTCCATTCTGGTGACTATAGGGGGGTGCCTGAGCTAGTGGGCACCCCAGCCCCACCTTCAGAGAGTTCTACCACACATGCCCAACAGGTCTCCTTGAAATTTAAAGAGACAGTTTCCAATTAAAACCAAATGGCCACAGCCAGCCCTGAACTGTTTATAACTAGAAAAAAAAAAAAAGGCCTGAACAGGGATTGTGGAGCAGGACAAGCAGACAAAAAAGTAAATAGGCTGAAAATTAAATTCTAAGTTACATCAAAACAACCAACAGTGGCATCTTGAAATTTCTTAAGAAGAAGAGTGAAAAGGGAAGCCCATTTCCTGTTCACATATACCTGGAGGCAATCAGAAAGCATAAAAATTAACAAAATACATACCCATCTGAGTATAAAAGCCACAGATAACCCCTGAAGATGACAAAAAAACAGAAGCAGATAACCATATCTGCACATGTCCAGAAACAAGATAAAGTGACTGAGGCAAATGAGCTGGAAGTAGACCTACACTCCATACTGGAAGATGGGCGTTCAGAAAAATGATTATAAAATGTATCAAAACACTATACAATGGAGTTGATAAAAATAAGGAAGAAGTCAAGAAAGCACTACAGGAACAATCAAATAAGATAGATACAGCATTGGAAACAATTCAAAACCTACAGAAAGAGGTCCGAACGATTAATAATAGAATATCAGAAATGGACAATACACTGAAAGGGCAAAGGAGCAGAATTGAAGAGATAGAAGCCAGAACTAGTTAGCTAGAAGATAAATCTTTCAACACTACTAAGATAGAAGAACAAACATGAAAAAGGATAAAAAATCTGAAGAAGGCCTAAGATTCATGTTGGATAACATGAAGAGGAATAACATAAGAATTATTGGCATTCCTGAACAGTAACAATCACACAAGTCCACAGAGGAGATAGTTGAAGAGCTTCTGGAAGAAAATTTTCCTAACATCCTGAAAAGTGAAAAGATGAGCATTCAAGAATCTCAACGAACCCCAGGAAGGATAGACCCTAAAAGACAATCACCAAGACATATAATAATCAAGCTCTCCAAAATCAAAGATAAAGACAGGATCTTGAAAGTAGCTAGGGAAAAAAAGAAATATACCATACAAAGACAAGCAAATCAGATTAAGCTCAAATTTCTCAACAGAAACCATGCAGGCAAAGAAGGCAATGGGGAGACATATATAAAACCCTGAAAGAAAAAAAACTGCCACCCAAGAATTCTCTAACAAGCAAAGCTGTCAATCAAATACAATGGTGTAATCAAAACATTCCAGGATAAACAGAAGCTAAGAGATTTTGCCAAAGCCAACCGTGCTATGAAAAACATCCTAAAGGAAGTTCTGTGGACTGAGAACCAACAAGAACACACAACTACAGAATGATGTACATGGCAGCATCAACCTGAACTCAGTCGAAAAATGGAAGAGTCAAGAACAGAATAAAATTATAAGAACAGAGGATCTGGGAGGTCAGTCTATGATCAAAACAATTACAATGTGAGAAAAGGTAAACACAGAGGAACAGAGATCCAGGTGGTGGGAAGGTCAGGTAGATTACTGGAGGGTAGAACTAATGGAATATAAGTTAACCACAATGGGGTTGGGGTGGAGGGTTTATTTTGGGTGTTGGGGAGGGCAACACAAGAAGGGGGGAGGAAGCAGAACAAGATAGATAAGGGAACACTGAGACAGGTTTGCATGGCCTAGTGGGACAGAGGTAAATAGTGATACATACTCAACCTTGGAACAACAGGGCTCCGGGATACAGGGATCTAGGTATAGCTGAAAGAGGGTAAATAATAGTAAAATCCTTGACTGCCTTATGAATATGAGTTTCCCTTGCCTATTATTATAAAACAGACACTTGAGTGGGATAGAAAGTAATGTTGGGAAACATGATTAGAGAAAAGTTGTAAGCCCGCCTTCAGCCTATAACTGATTGGAATACGTAAAAGGGGTTCTACAACATGCCAAGTGACATAGGCCTCATGCAAAGCCTTTACAGAGTATAGGACCTTAGGTGGAATCCTGAGTCCCATCTGGAACCTTATGAGGTGAGACATTCCCACTAGAAAGGACAAGCAGACTGGAACAGCTACAGTGACAGATGATGCATCTTCATGATGAACCTGACCAGTAGTTATTCTAAATACCAATAGAGAGGGAAAGAGTCTTCATATCAAGTTTTAATGCTATCTACTCTGTACGCAGGGTAGATAGGAATGGACAACTTAGACATTGGCTACCTAAAATGAGGGGGCAATAAAGGCATGAAGTGACTGGCTTACAAG